CGTTTTATGTAGGCTGCCCAATCCTGTGCTGACGCCCATAAGCATGAAACAAGCGACACTTTGTTCACAAGCGTGGCGACCATGAAAAAAAAGGTTTTCATGATATTTGACGGCTTGGCGCGAAATTGTGGCCGCATTTTCACTTTCCATAGACCTTGGGTAATTCGTTGGCTTGTGTCTAAACTCGGAGGTGTCCAGACGAGCAGGAGGGTTGCAGATTGCAAATACCTTGTTGGGTATTTTAGTGCGACTCCGCCGCGACTTTCCGGGGCCGAGTTGCTGTGTTTTGTCGGTGTTTACATGCTGTGACACATGAAGTGTGCGGCGAATAACACGCGCAATTAGCGTACCGATCATGCATGTTGACCATGCCCGACCTCTCCTCTACGGTTTTTCGTGCGCGTAAGGACATCGCTGTGGATGGGTGGGCTCTAACGATGCTTTCTCGCGAAAATGTGGGATTTGCATCGACGTGCAACACCATCGGGCAAACGCTGGGGTTCTTCATTTCTCAAGTGGGCTTCCTTGCTCTATACGATCCTGGCGTGTGCAACAAGTACTTTCGGTGCGTATTCGCGCGAGCTTCATCTGTCGCGTTTCTGTCCCCCAATCTTCGCACCCTGCTCGCGGTAGACATGAGTAACGATGTTCGTGGCCTATTATTCTGCTGATAGTGATGCTTGCAAGTCCTAACCTTGTACTGTTGTCGTACTGTTTGCTTGTTCGTGCGTCAGATCTGAACCATCAGATGTAGGAATCGTCACCCTTTCCACCTTCCTACAATTTTGGGGTGCGGTGTTTCTAGCGACAACGATCTGGTTGTGCTTGTTCAAGCCCGAGGTCGAAAACGGAGTCAACGACGAGTTTCTAGGACTCGTTGACACCTACAAGCAGGTGTGGTGGGCTGACGGGGGTTGAAGCGAACTGTCTATGCATAGTGCTGAATTCTCGAGGACACGCTAGCTGGTAGACCTCTGTCTCGCCACTTATTGGTGCCAACCGATGTGTGGGTGTTCGTGGTTGTCATATTCTTTGTCCAGCTCTCCACACCCCACCGGCCATACGTTAGTACTTCGTAGACGATGTGTTATTCGGTTATGTACGCCAGTTGGAGCCTCATCTATGAACACCCTCAACCTACAGTGACCGTTCATCCGTCCGATGTTGCCGTTGATCTCTGTTTGACGCGACCCCTTGACAGCTGTACAAGTGTGTGCAACTTCCGTCGGTGCGGTCCTTTTCGTCGGTACTTCTCACGTGCCGCATGGGTAAGGGTGCCACATGCACGGTGGTGTCTAGTAGCATTTTGGCTGTATACCGTTCCCTTGCCGTGTCGTGAAGCCCACCTTGTTACTCCGTAGCTCAACAGTTCCTGATGAGACAATTGCTTGTTGCGCACACATGAGGTTGCAAATACCTAGGTTTATCTTGTCCCAAGCCTGTGGCATGAACCCCAAGCACTTCCGTATCATGCTTGGTTGCCCTTAACACGTTCTCGCTCCGCTCTCTCTCTCTCTCTCTCTCTCTCTCTCTACCGTAGCGTTTGCCGTCACGGATGCTGCGACTTCACTGAAGCTTGTCGAGTACGGCATGCCCAAGGAAGAAATCGCAATGCTGTCGCCAATCCTTGTGGCCCTTGGGATGATTATTCCAGTCGCGGTTGGCCGTATCACGGCCGGTTCCAGGCCCATGACAGTCTTTCTATGGGGATATCCGCTTAGGATCGCGGTCACTCTCATGTACCTAGTGGTGCTGCCGTTGTCAAGGTAAGCCTGTTGCTAGACACTGGCCGAGTGAGGAGTCCTTGGAAAAGTCCTGTGACAGATGAAGACTACCCCGAATTCGTGGCCCGACATGGGCGTCAACAGTTTGCCCATCTCTGCTCCACTGTGGATTCCTCCAACCCTAAACGGTGGGACTTGCTCAAAACCGAGCCGGCAGCAGTTTTTTTGTTATTTTCGATCCCATTTATTCTAGCAGTCGGTCTTCTACACATTTCGGTACAATTTCTAGATGCACCAGCCGGCATCACACAGGAGGAGGGCCAAACAGGATACTTTCCTTCGCCTTCCTTCAAGGAGTGCTTGCCCTAATTTGGTCGCGAAAAGGATTCGGCCGTTCCTTCCCCTCGTGGACCGTTAAGGCGTCCTGGTATTTGCGTAGACACGGAGTTATCGCTCCCATATTTTTGGGCACTTTGTTAGAAAGCTTGCCAGTATGTGGCTACACCGAGATTCGAGCCCACGTCCCAAACGTCAGACGGTTGTACGAGGGTACCTACAGCTCTGCTGTTGTGCACCTTGATTTCATTTTCACCTTGACGGTCTGACTTGCCGCCCTTCTTTACTGGGTCACAGGAAAGTCTACATGATGCCTGGCGGCGACCGCGAAGAGGAAGAAGGGGACGACACCGGCGGCGATGACACTGCGAAGTTCTTCGGGTGGCTCATAACAGCAGTTGTGTTACACGAAGTTGCTATGAACTGCATGTTCGTGGTGAGCCGTTGTTCCATGGTTTTCTTCATGTGGGAACATGGGTAGTCATTCATGTAGAGTATTGTAGCATAACTGTGTGCCAACACCGTCCGCTTTCAGCGACATATTCCTTGTGACGATTGTGCCCCCCCCCCCCGACGTTTGCTTTCAGTCCCAGATGGCATTTTGCTCTCGTGTCAGCGATCCGGGTATTGGCGGGACCTACATGACGCTTTTGAATACAATCGGCAACGTGGGAGGGAGATGGTGAGCCGCCTGTGTGCAGTATGAAAGCCCAAGCCTTCCTCACCGCACGTGTGGATGGGTGGATACACGTGAATATCGCGGCCGAAACCGCACGCCGACCAACATCTTTCCCATCTTGCACTGGCCGTACAGGCCCAACTCTTTGTCCCTGTATTTGCTGGAAAAGCTCACCTTCAGCCACTGCGTAACTGAGGGCGGAGATATTGTGGAGGCAGCCTCTTGTGCCACGGATCAAGGGAAACAACTTTGCACGGGAGCTGAAGGATCCTGCGTTGTCTGGTTAGATGGATACACGGTGCAGGTGAACCCGATTTCGCTACTCGCTTTAGTCCGAAGACATGCAGCTCGGACTTTTTACATTACACATCCAGCCAAGACGGTTGTAGCCAGGCCCGGAGACCCATGCTCGTCAAGTGTTTCTACTTATCCTCTGCATTAAATGGGACGGCTTCATGAGCCCCTTTTCACGTTTTGCCACCTGAACCCAAGAAACCCCTTCCATTACTCACCCGTGAAAACAATCACCGTTATGAATTTTGGATGGTCATGAACACGGTATACGAACACATGGGGGACCTGACCCCGGCCTGGAGAGCCTCTATTCTCTTAATCCAACTGTTACACAAACCCCAAAACTTATTATACAAGGCCTATTACCGACCACAGCAACATGATAAAAGTTAACGCCGTGCCAGCTCCGCGTCGACTTCCTGAAGCACCTCGAAGGTGCGTCCACATCATATCGCTTCTCGTTGCACATTACAAGGGGTTTTCGCTACCAACAAGCTATGTGTCGCCCTGCTACCATGCACTTGCTGACCCCCTCGTCGTCCCAACATGCTCGTGCGGCGCTCAACTTACCCGTTCAGGCCTGGGGCTGCACTCTTATCGGCTTGATCTGGCTGGGATTTTTCGCACGCCGGGTACAGCGAATGCAGGACCTCCCGGCCGAGGCTTGGATCGTGTCGACCAAATCTAACTAATCCCACAATGGATTCTCCACGAGCGAGATAATTAGTGTCACATGTTTATTCACAACGGATATAATATCCCTAGCAGGCTGGAAAACTTTTGGAAGAGATCTCGTCCAGCCAGCCGGTCCCATTCTGCCACATTCACTTCCAGGGTAGCAGCGGTGGTGCTCGATGTTTCTGAAGGCCGTGCTGGGGTGTCTGTCAAAAAACCAGCCTTGCCCTCATTTCGGGTACCTTGCCCGTTTGGTGTACATCCCGAGGCTGACCAGGTGCTGCACGCGATCTGCACTCCCGCCTGATGAAAAAACACCATGAGACATTTGCGGCGTACATCAATTCAGGTCTAAAAAGCTCCGAGCGGACATCCGGTTATAAGGAAGCATGTTAAACTACTCGTGCTATCCATAGCGAAAGGGTACCACCGCGCCAGGTGGGATAAGAAGCGGTATGTGAAAACGGTATAGGAGGGCAGGGAGAAGATCCAGGTACCTCGCCGGTCGGGTTGATGTGGAACCTGCTAATCCCACGCACCAATCTCGCCTATCTGCTTCATCATCATGAAGACCACCGATCATAACGCAATGCGGATGTCCGTACCCTGTCATTCTTGGGTATACTGCTGTACCCTCGAATTAATGCGCTTCTTCCACGCGTAAAGCCTCTAGCGACCTGCCGTCGGTGCCATCGTACCAGTAGTGACCTGAACAATTCCAGCGGAAATCACATCGCCGTTGCCTGGCTTTCCCAGCAGCGATATGTTTCTCGGAAGCCCCTTAACTTGCCTTTAATTCTTGATTCGTTGTGTTTCTCGGGGATTTCAGATTAACACCCGAGAAAACTACTTCGTAGTAGCAATTTCGCGTAGGCGTGGCCAAACATTTGGCGATGAATTTTGCGGGTTTGCGTTGATCCCAGACTTTCGCTATGTATATTCTTCATTCATTTATCCAGCGCTAGTGGCGAAAACGGCACGTGTTCTAGCGGCAACAACTCACCCCTTCGACATAAACCCGGACCTCGCAGCTGCTTCCACGGGGTTCCTCCGTAGGTTTGGGGCCGGATTCCTCTGTTTTCGGGCCTGGCAAGAGATAGATTGCGGCTGGCTCAAGCTCAACCCTGAAACAAGCCGCTCCCTCCGACATGACCCCGCTTGTCCACGACGCAGTGATGTCCCCAAATGTAAGAACGATTTGACGACAAACCTCGCGGAGCAGAAAATGCTCAAGGTCTTGTGCAGACTGCAGCTCCACACTTCGCTGATCTGCGTGGTTCTGCAGACCAGGGAGGGCACTCACAACGATCCCGCATCCATCGTCCAAGGACGCCCTAAAATGGAAGCAGTGCCCCACGGTCAAAGTAAGAGCACTAGTGCGGTAGGTCTCCTCCAAGTGCGTCCATCGCACGGCCAACGGAAGACCGATCTTTTGCACAGAGCGACTCACATTCGCCAGTCCCTGAACAACCTGGTGCACACGGGTGTCCAATTTTGGCCAACGGAACAAACAGAGCACAGTCTTATAAGCTGGATATTTCAGTCGGAAAATGATGTATCAAACACGAAGAGAAACTTCCTGTGGCTGTAAAACGCGAAAGGGCAAAACGTCAAGACGTTCAATCTATGCACGCACCCCCACACCAAAAAAGGAATCTTCGGGCGTATCTCCTGAGCGCGTGATTCAAACCGTGCGCCACAAACACGCACATAGTTGACTTACCTCCGAGCGAAAAAGGTGGTGTAGCAACACACGTCCCACCGACTTCCACGTACTCGCGGCCGTCAATTGCCCCCCCGCCGTGGCACCTCCCGTTGTGCTCCCTCCAGATTCGGCAGAAATCCATGCTCCTACTTCCCGGCTCACAGGACCTTTTGAACTAACGACCCTCCCTGCAACCTCCTGGGTTCGCTGTCGTTCCCGAATAAGACTCCCGCAATACAACAAGGCCAGTTGACAGAGCGACGCCGACTGCGTCATCGTTGGTCCCTTACATCTGTCGTCCTCCGGGCAAGTTCCGCCTTTCGTAGGCAAGCCACTTCCAGGCCTTCCACTCCAGCCACTTGATGGACTCTCGCCTGAGACTAATCTATACCCCAAGAGAGAGTGGCTGTCCATTTCCACCATTACTTCGTCATCCAACACGTGCGCCACCCGAGCCCTAGCGTTCCGAGTGGAAGTCGTCATCCCTCGTGGGCTCAAGCCTACTAATCTCCGTTTTTCTCCTGATTCTATCCTTCCGACCACTTCAGGCGCCATCGCCGACGTGCCAGTACGAGGTCCGACAACATCCGAGCCGCATCTCGCATCTTGATGAACCAGCCATCCATCCTTCCCGTCAACCAAAGCCTCTGCCTTGAGAGTTTCGAACACCTCCTCCCAAAAGACGCTATGCTGTAGGCGAGATATGTGTTGCCCAAGGTCGTCCATCAGAACTTCGCTGCCTTTCTCCAACTTAAGCTCCGCTCCTCCATTGCTTGCGGGTGGTGGTTTTCCACAGTCTCCCTCTGCCGCGTCCGTCCTTCTGCATCGATCGCTCCGTGCAGGAAAGCTAGCTCTAAGGGAATGTTCGCACATGCCGGTTTGAACCGATACGAGCTGGACTTCAAATGCCTTGAGACCCTGCGTATTCGAGGGTTGCGCCTCCAGCCGCCCGCCCTCACCGCACGTCAGTTGGAACAGCCACGGATGCCTGTGTCGAGTACCCGCAGCCGCGGTGAACGGCACAGACTTGCCACCGGCACTTCCGAAACTGCAGTCGACTGACAGCGGTTCGCCCACTTGAAGCGGCACGTTGACCTACGACCACAGGGACGACGCACACAGGCGCAAAGGCGCGCGAGGTTGACAAGGGCTCCAGACGATCCCCTCCGTCAAACCGAATGGCAGGCTGCTACGCGAACATTATGTGCTGCACAGACCATCGTTGGCCTTTTACGCCCTGCTGACTGACGTCTATTATTGGTCGGTTGGCTAGCGCGGTCAGTGCCAGTAAATAAAAACATCCAGACACACTGCTGTCTGGGGAACTCGATGACTTGATAAAACAACGTGTAAATAAACTGTTTTGCCTGCGTGCAGGAGACTGACGAATTTTCGTTGGTAAAACCGTTGTAGCGGTCCCTGCTCATGAAGGAACCCGCACACACACACCTTGCCATGGTTCGGGGCCACTATTCTCCAACTCTTCCGCAGATGCACCACGCCTTGCTGAAATATCAGTTGCACTTTAGTCGTTTCTCGCAGTCGCTTGGCTCGTTCGCGAAGCTGCTCGGCCGCCCCTTTCAACTGGCTCCTCTTCATGGTCAGCAACGATGGGAGAGCTTCCGACGGCACACCGTCTCCAGGTCTCGCCTGTAAGAACAGGACACGCCAACGGGATCCCGATGTACGCACATGATCGAAAAATGGATGTGGATTTACTCGTGGAGCGACAACGTTCCTAAGATATCCCCGCGTCATGTAGCATACAACACTGCTTGTCGTTACAAGTTCCAAATCTCGAACTACACCGCCTGTTGAGATGTTTGCCGTACGGATTTCTCTCTTGAGGAATTTGAGAACAAATTAATGTCGACCACATTGGTACCAACTGCTGAGGATAATCTGTCGGATGTACCACGACTCTCGCGCGGGCATACCCTCTCACCGATTGGTCTGACATTGCCCTGGCTTGGTCCTCGTCACTTGGTGTCACCCTCTCCAGTGCCATGAATTCGCCCGCCCGGGCCAGATCGACAAGATGGACTAGCTGGTTGAGCTCTCCCAACGCCATGTCAAACGACGTGACGGCGCTCTGCAACGGGTGTTCAGCTACAAATGTAGATTCGTGAGTGCCTCCGCTGCCGGTTGCTTCCTCCTTCTTGGCCCCGTTTTCAAGATCGCCATTGCCCTCCTCTGCACCCGTAACTCGCGGCTGACCCTGGCTATCGCCTTGGTCTTCAACTTCTTTGGCATGGTCGGCGAGGGTCTGCTGGACTGCAAGCTGAAAGTCGTCCTGGAAAGAGCGTTCCCTGAAGAGGAGCCAACGAGGGCGACAGGATGATGAACTTCGACGGACGCGTGCGTGCTACAGCCATCACCGAACCAAACAATAATTTCCGCCGCACAACGCAACTAGAATCAAACCATGCCAAACGAACGAGTCATACCTGGCGCAAGAAGCATTGCCGTCGCCGTCGTATTGGTGTACTGGGTTCGCTACGAACGGTACCAAGGCGATTTTCTGAGGCGACCCTACGCCATTCTCGTCCTTCTCAGCACCTTTCGGTTTTGCCACGCCACCCTCGCTCATATCAGCACTTTTCGAGCCCAAGCCTTGCACATAGCTTAGTTTCGTGGCCATATCAATATCGTTGTGGACCTGCGTCTTGACATTGCCTGGCAAAGAGCCGGAAGGCGCACACACAAGCAGAGGAGGAGATCGAGAGGGGGCACGCGCCAAACACAGACGGAAACAGCACCCCCCCCACCCGCCGGGATGCGACAACAGGATTCACGATCCACCGATGCGATTTGAAATTTGATTTTGAGCGCGCAGCCCCAGACACCAAGCACTTTGCCCTTCGGGTGTGGCATATGTGGAGGGATGGAGGCCCTGTCGAGGAAAACGGAGAAAGAGAAGCTGGCGGACTTAGAGGCGATGTTAGCAGATGCAACATGCAGTGGAGACGTGACGGGTGTGTGCACGGCGTGTGTGTCTTGTCCGTCGTGGGTATCTCTATGTTTGCTCTCGTGTGCAGTGCTGCTTTGCCGCCCGTATTTGCCGCCCGTATGCATGTCTCCTGCACACGGCCAGGCGGTCTATGTACCACATACATCTGTATGCATGGGATTCTACCAGACGTTTCTGCGCCATGCACCAGTACCGCCTTGATCCGACAAGTAGCGCTCCTAATAGTGAGATGGTTTCACTTTTTGGGGTTGGTACGCTGTGGTCGACATTTTTTCAAATGTTTCGTTTCACCCGTGTTTCCCCGCCAATGAATATACACGACTGCTTATACCACGCGCTGCCTCCATCCCCACTCGTCGGCTTCGTGCAGACGACGCCAGCTTGGTGTCCTTCGGCTCGGAGGAGCCAACTCCGACAAAACATCACTACGTCCCAAGAAGTCCACGTGATGATGCCGCTTCGAATACAGCAGGCCCTTGGCGCCCCGTAGGTTGGAGTCGGGTAGTCGACACCAGCGTTCCCACTGTAGTCGACAACCCCGTTCTCGAGGCTGGTGTTGGCGGGCGGGAAGTGGCGGACGTAACCACCCGAATCTATTCCTCCTCATCCAGCTGTACGACGGAGCGCTCCACAGAACGGGTAGTACCCCGAAGACATCAAGGGAAACGACCCCATCGTCACACCGCTGCCGATCACGAGCGTCGTACTGACCGACGTCGAAGGCAACGGCACCCTACACCTGAGCGAGACCATGAGACGGCAGCAACAGTGGCGCTGCTGACGAACGAACTGGTGATCGTTCGGTCTCAGATTGAACAAAAAGATGTTGTGGTGAGGTCTCTGCAGCGCCAGTTGGAACAGGTGAGCTAGCCTGTTCGTGCGTATTTGTGCTCACAAGTTTGTGGTGGACCTGAAATTTGTAACATGAAGTATAGTACACAGACTCGTCTACGCATAGTCTAGTCTACACGGCAGCCAGCACCGACCTGTCTTGTTGAGCCTGTTTCCCACAGGAGATATATCGCTAACCGGTCGCCCCGATGGTCTAGCGGGTAGCCTCGCAGCCTGCTAAGGGCCAGGTCATGGGTTCGAGTCCCGACAGAGTGAGTTTTTTATCGCTAATTCAATCCTGATCTCCGTTGGAAGCGACGGGCTGCAAAGCTCGTTGTTAGTAACCTTGATCGACTTCACCTTCATTAGTCGCGAGGGAAGGGATTGCTGTACCCCCCTCGCGATAAAAATACCTCAGGCAGGAACCGCAGGAGGGGTCCAACCCCCCCCTGCTATGTGACCCCGGTTGGGTCGTCTAGCTGGTAGAAGTGGAGGATAGGGGCCAGAGGGGCAGACGACAGAGTATAATGATGGGAGAAAAAAAAAAAATTCGCTGTATGCTGCTCGGAGAACCGTAGAAATATAGGTTTCGATCGTCTTAACTCTACGATTTCATTGCCAGAAAAATAAAAACACGGTACAATAATGCTGCTGCTTCCCCGTCACATGGTATCAGGTTTGAGGCAAGCGGTGACAGGTGAACGGTGACACTGCAAGATTTGACCAACATTCCCTACGGCCAACTGCTCCCCGACTCAACAGTAATGCGACTTCTCGTATATCTATCCGTAATATTTTCTGCAAGTGATACTTTCCCCGCAGTGGTGAGGCACCAACTGGTACACAACACACCGACATATGCTGGATGGGTAGCGACAGAAGTTTTTGGCGCTAGGTGCGTACCTGGGGTTCTTCGTCCTTACGGTCCACTCTGCAAATCAACCCCTTCCCCATTGCGTGTACCCCTTGCCTGGACGGTTTCCATTCATTAGCGAGGGGAAATTGAAGCGCAAACTCAAGCACGGGCGGAGGAGGATCTCGTGGCTGCATTGGCGAAGGCGTCGGGGCTGAAAGAGGAGTTGACCAGAACATCTCAACTACTGGTGGATGGAGCACTCGCAAGGTGATGATGCAACTGAACAACTCGGATGCTGCCATGTGTCCTAATTACTACCGAAGTGTTTGCAATCTACGAGCCGAGTTGCTGGCCTCTCTCCTAGATGATGGGTTGTATGGCCAGTGGTACCACTTCAGACCTCGTTCAACTCAGAGAGAGAGGGATTCCTAGCTATGTACATCGCCACAACTTTTTGCACGCTTGCTAACAACCCCGCAGGCAACACCTGGAGCAGCGCTGCTCCGTCCTCACCGAGGAACTCCAGAAGTCTGCAACACGAACCGCCGAGCTCGAGAACGAAGTGGCCGTCTCACGCGCCGAAGTGGTGAGGATCTCAGGGGCCCTCCACGCCCGACGGAGCACTGACGTGGTGGATGCGGAGAGGGCGTTTGGGGAGGAGCTGCAGCGGGTTCAAGAAAGTGCGGCGCGCGAGACACGGACGTTGAAGCAGGAAGCCAGCGGCCTCCGCACGTTGCTAGAACAGACCAAGAGCAAGCTACGGAATGCCTGTGGGGAAAGGTAAGCGACTCCCACGGGGAAGGGGTAGGGGTGACACTCAACGAGCTTCGCGCTCGAGGCGTTCCAGCAAACACTGAGAATACGTTGTCCTTTGTTGCACAATTCAATTGAAGGGTTGCACTATCGTGCAGTTGCCCATCGCCATGCGTGATGACCAGTTTAACATGTTACTGTTCTTTTTTTCTCATATCGTGCACGTTAGCAGGGATTCCTGGCGAGAGGAGGCAGACTCTTTTTCGAGTGAGGCTGCGACGCTGCGGGAGACCGTTCAGGCGCTTAGGCAATACAGCGAGAATGACACCATCGACCAGCTGCTAGGACAGGCGTGGGCAAATCTGGCCGGCAGTCACAGCCAACCGCGTGCAAGCTTCGATTGCGTTTAGCGTGACTTGCACTGGAGGATTTTCAGATATACTTGTCTTATTGGGGCCGAGTGGCTTCGGATCTCATCCACGAGTCTTGCACTCTTGTGATAGCGTTCGGTGTTTCCTGGCGTTGAGGTATTCCATTTCTAGCCGCACGGCAGTCGGGGACTGATCTTGTGTGTTTGTTTTTGTCGTATTTTCATCGATCGGTTTTGCTCAGGTGTCGCGCTGGAAACGTCGCACAGAGGAGCTGGAAAATCTTCAGCGGGTGGCATCTTCGCCGGAACGGTCCGCTTTCGACGGTAGCAGTTCAGAGACGGAGCCCAGTCGTTGCACCGAATCTGTCGAGCCTCTTCCTTCCCCGACGATGGAAGGGCGCCCACCCTTGGCCGCACCGACAACAGTTTCTCAAGAAGAGAAAGAAGAGCACGAGAAAGTGTTGGGGGATAGGCAGGAAGCGGAGATACACTCTTTGCGGCAAGAGCTGTCGGAGGCAAAGAAGTCATTGGCGATGAAGGGAGAAGAGGTGGCTGCGGCTGTGCTGGAGGCGCGGCAGCAGGCTGCGATGAGAGCCGTGGCAGAAAGTTGTGTTGAGGGTTTGCAGGCGAGTGAAGAAGCGAGGAGGGTTTGAGAGGGAAGAATATGTAGTGAAGAAGCTGATGTCATCGGAAGTCTTCTTTTCGGCAATCTTTGTTTACCAGCAGCACTTGGGGTACCCTGTTCAGCCGACGGGTGCGTCCTTGAACACTTGTTCGAAAGGCGGCAGTGTTCTCCCACGGAAAGACGAGCGCTCATGTTCTCTACGACATTTGCGCTGCACGGCAATCCTGTTGGTGTGAATAAAGCATTCCGCCATTTGCCGAGCATGTTAGCCTCATCTCCTCCGATTTGCATTGATTATCCTACTACGTGTGTGAATTTAGCGAAAGGCGGAGGCCAACGCAAGGGCAGCTCGTGAGCACGTGGTGGCGAGACGGGCCGCAAAGGCCAGGGATATGGCGAACCTTAAAATAGCAATTCAACAAGATATGGTCAATGAGCTTCACAAGTGAGTTTGCTCTCGAGCCTGAATTTTAGGTTCACCAGTGCAACACCTGCATTCAAGCTGCAACGCCTAACTACCCCTTCTTTGAGCCCCATTCCACCCGCTGTGAGTCAGCATTGAGTGGGTCTTTTAGTGCTCGTGGTGCTTTAAACTCATGAAGTACGATGATTGGGTGGTCGGCGTCGTTCTCATGTTAATCCGTTTCACCTCCTCCTTTCCGTCGGCAGGCGCCTTGTGCTATTAAGAAGAGCCCAACGGCACAACACGTTAGCTACATATGGAGCGATCCACCCACACGTGTTGCGTCCACATGCCAATTCAAACCTGAACTTCCAATTACACTGCGGTCCTTGTACCACGTGTGTCTCGAATATTGCGGTAGGTTGCAGTGCGAGGTGAGAAAACAGCGGCAGGAGGAAAAAAAGTTGCACGGCACCAAAGACACAGAGTTGTCTAAATGCTCTGGCGAGCGCAGCCGAGAACCTGTTGGCGTGGACAAAGCTTGCCAGTCGGATGATACGATCGCATCGTCTTCCAAGGAAGAGGGCGTAATGATGGAAAGCGACATTCTCAATAGAGTGGGCGCTGCGTGCTCGGCCTGTGGAGTTGATCTGACAGACTCCGGTGCCGACGGGAGCAGCATCGTAGCATCTCCTAAGGTGACGGTGGTCTTGGAGGATGAAGCAGAGAAACGAGTCTCGGCGGCGTTGGCGTCGGCGGCAATGGCTCAAGTGGGAGCCACCGCGTGGGCTTCCGCTTTCTCTGCAGCCAGGTGCTTGTTTCACGCTGCGTTGGCCTCTCTTTGCGAGCAAGCAGACTGTTTGTTTGGCGCAGACGCAAAAGGGAACGGGCGGCAGGCGCTCGTGCTGTCGCCCTTGGTGGGATTAACGACCGCGCTGAGAGACGAGGCGAGCAGCGCTATGGTCCCGTGGGCGCCCAGCGAGGCGGAGGCTGACGCTGCGGCTGCGATGGAGGTGTTGCGAGATGATGTTGAGTCATCCGTGAAACGTATCCAATCTGCGTTGGCGGATCACTCGGAGCGGACGGCGGCACTGTCGCTGGCTTTGACCATGGCAACCGTAGGCTCGCAGACCACAGCAGAATCGCCGACTGATTCTGCAATAACGGTATCCCGGACCACTACAGGGTCGCAAACCACCGCCAAGGCCGCATTACCACGGGCCACATTGGGCTCTCAAACTGACGAGGTAGGCATCATGGAATTGAAGGTGGGTCAGCGACATAATGTTGGTGTGCAGACGGGCTATCTCGGCGGTCGGAGACCAGAAACTGCTCCTGGCGCCGGCGGAAGGGGTGGGGCACCAGCATGGGAAGGTGGCATGGAAAGTCGATGTAGGGAGGGAGAAACGTATGATGGCGACCGATTGTGGCGGCCCAAGTCAGAAGATCACGCCCGAATGGACGAGCTAGAGTTAAAGGCGGGCGCGCTTAGCGCCGCGCTGCAGCGATCAGAGAAGGAGAAAAGCAGTCTGGAGCGGTCGTTGACACGACGTTTCAAGCGCGAGAAGGTGCGTGTGCCAGCACGTCTGAACTTTGTTGCGGGCTTAATGCCGTGCCAGGGTTCACTTGATGAAACGGTAAGGGGTAAGAGCGGGGTCTCAGCAGCTCGAGCTAGTTTCTCAAGTCCGGCTCGAAATTGTTTCTCTGGAGACATGACAAGGTGTTTTGCACGTGCGTGACGGATTGGGATTAAGACTGTGTCAAATATTTTGTGACCTGTTGCCACGCTTGTGGAGATCGACTTAGGCAAGGAGCTATTGCGATGCGGATGCTGGTGAAACAGATCGATCCAGGCGAGTCAAGTCATACGATGTGCTGCGATGATGGAGAAGTTGTTGGCGACGAGTAATTGACAATCATGTCGAGTTAGAAGGAAATGGCTGACGGAAAAGTCTCGCACGCTTCTCTCTGCAGGCTATGCAGCTCAAGAAGCAGCGAGATAAGTACGAGGCAGACATTGGTGCGCTGCATGCGTCCACAATGGCACTGCTTCAGGATGTAAGTGATGTTTCAACATTGTCCTTTGCCCCTGAGTTGAAGAACTGTGGTAGCCCTTTCCCACGGAACTTCGGGAGGAATTCATTTTGTGTGCTTTTGAGGCGGGTCTTCTTGAGAATACCCCGGTTGTTGCTTGAAGTATTCACGAAACGTGGGCGGGACTTACATGGTTTCTTCTCGTGGTCAACTTCTTACGAGTACTACCGGACACAACCATTTGTACAGAAGCACAAGAGTAGGGTTTGTCCTGCCGAACACCAAAACCGTTATGTTGATCAATGCAGCAACTCAGTCATACGCTTTAGCTGTATGAGCGCACTTTGGTATTTCTTGCAAACTTCGCACATTATGATGCTCTGCCGTCAATGGGACTTTGAAAGCGCGAGTCGGTTACTAATCAGCGGGGCACATCTTGGGTTAATGTCACTCGCCGAAACACCGCCGAATTACGAGAATCATTTTCGTGACGGTTGTCTCGATCGGCATATATGTGCAATTTCCTGTATATTGAGATTGATTGTGGCGCTTGTGAGGGTTCTCCGACAGGGTAAGAAATATGGCGCTTGAACCGAACTTCGTGTGTCTTTGTGTGCCGGCTCCTGGGCCATTGTAGCAAGGGAGGGGAGTGTCAATCGCGGCATGTACAGGATATGGAGACTGTCGTCGCGAGGGGCGCACCCCTGAAGCTTGCGTGCTGTGAGGCGTGTTTCCGTCCCGGTACCCAACCTAGCATATCGATATCGCCAACAGCTCTTGGATCTTGTTTGACCCTTGCGCTTCCCTTCGAATTCTCTTCACGCGTGCTTGTGTTTCGATGCTCCAGTTCCCAATCAACACTGCAGCTTGACCGTGCTCAGGCGGAACAAAGGGACTCATTTGACCCGTTTCACAGGCTGCTGGTATCGGTTGCGCGTGGGTGTGATACAGGGGCCGTCTCTGTTGTGTCTTGTTTGTACGTTGTGCGCCTCCAAGTGTTGCCTCTATCTTGGGCGGGGCGCATCGTGGCCCGCAGCTAGCTTTTTTTTCGGAGGGTGCCAGTTGGGCGAGAGGGATTTTCGCGCTTGTTTTGTCTTTCCTGCAATTCGTCGCCATGGGGCTGTGTCGTCTTGTGATTCGGTGCGAAGGGCATTCGTTTAACGTATTTACTTTACCCATGTTAAGCAGTGTAGACGAGCACGCGGGGCATGTCAATGTGATGTATCTGTGTGGAGTTTGTGCCTGTGTAATGCTCCCAGTCAGTTTTCTTCGTGCGTGTGCCACTCCGTTACGTCCGATAGCACGCACCGGAACAAATACGTTTTAGTGGGAAACCTGTGAGATGCTCCCAAGATCATTTTGCTAGAATGTGTATACACTCCGTGCAGGGTCTGATAGCACGCACCGGAACACGTACGTTTAGACTCAAATTACGATGAATGTAGCCTTGAAGGGCGTGTTGAACGGATATCATTTTTCTTGTAAATCACCATTTAGCCGTACCATACACACACCCCAAATCGTGCCACGTTCGATACTTTCGGTGGTGTGCCATCTAGGTAGACTCGCTCGCCGCGCCGGTTGGTGTTTATCGAGGAGAAGAAACCTCACAAATCGTGGAAGAGGAAAAATATGATATTTTCGGGGGTCTCAGAATTGGCTCTGTTGGCCGGGAAAAATATATGAACATCGGCAGCTACGGCGGCGTAGCCCGCCGCTCCAGGTCGCACATCTTGACTTCCCAAGTCGGGGCAAATTATTTTGAGGTCTGCCGGAGACGAGGTATTACCCTCTCTCGATGACGAGTCTACATGAAGGATAACAGGCTTCGATGTGCGTAGTTATTTGTGGTGTTCGTGCGGTGGTGCGGACTTGTTGCGCTGGTCTATTGGGGGGTCGGTAAGGATCAACATTTAGTCTATAGTTTATATACTCTTTTCACCCCCAGGTGATCAGAGGGCCAGAAGTACTGGGTAACACGGGGCCGAGGCAGAGTGTGTGAAATTTTGGAACTTGCAGGTGGTTCAACAGCCCCCACCCTCCCCCCCGCGCGCGTGTGGTCGGCTGCGCATCACAAAGACCACACCACCATCACTTTTACCCGTCAGTGTATGGATAGATGGAAGTGTACAGAAAATACAAGCACAATGCCTAGATGACGCGTCCCGCAAATAGCGAGGACACATAACATGCGCTTTGAAGCGACTTTCGACGAGCTGCATGAATTATCGTTTCGTGCAGTCTCAGCGATGAACTTTTGCTGTTGTGCATGCTGTTGCAGACAGGCAAGTACGCACCAGCGAAGTACCAGTCATCAACGTGTGCCCTACCCCCGTCCTCATTTTTTTGTGTGTACATGCCGTTTCTTTTTGTCGGGGACACACTCGTCACAGCCCCCCCGCACAGACTTCTCCCTTCTCCCGCTGCTGCTGTAGCCCCAAGGTACCACGAGGCCCGCTGGTTCGCTCGTTTGCGTACTACGCTGCTCTTCTAGATCGATGGCATCCCTGACTGCTCCACCACCGCAAGCAGGAACTAAGCGACCCAGGAGCAGTGCTCAAGAACACCAGGTGATGGGAAATCAAGCCGCGCTTCTTGTATCCGTCACATGAGTCTTCCCATAGGCGTCATCCCGCCCACGTCCTCGCTCGTCTCCGACACGACGCCAGTGCAGGCCTCATGGTGAAATGAAGATGACACGTGCGCGTATATGTTGGACGACTTCATGCCTCTGAGGTCCACCGGAAATCTATAGCGCCATTTTAGCGAATTGCATATTTTGAATGGTAGCACGGGACTGTAGAGAACCTCCTCAGCGTCTGGATGTGTAGCGGTGTCAACCAGTCCCCCAGCCTCTGCTTTGTCCAGATGTCCAGTTCATGAGACACGTTTTCCTCACCACTCACTGCAAGATTTCAACACATCCCTTCGAGCGGGGTATAGTTCTCTCGAACTTAGTCTTTCTCTATATTGTAGACTGCATTGTCTACGACAGCAGCAGTTTGCTAGTGCAAAGCCATGCTGCTTCACTCCTATGCTCCTAGAGATCAGCAGCGGGACACACAGGACCCTAATGAAAGACCCAAGTCTGCGCATCAAAGCGCCGTCTATTGAGTCTGAACCCGGCATGTTGCATAGATGTGTGCACAGGCTCGTTGGGATTCAGTAGCCTCTCGCGAGGATAATAAACTTGGTTTTAAAAGGAGTATGGGGTGGAGTTGGGTGGTTTTTCGTTGGTGGGACCGGAGACGACAATAATACAATACTTGCTGGTTGTGCTCCACTTTGACTAATTTAGACTATTTTGTGGTGACATAACCTTCATTCAAACCTATTTTTTGTTTGTGCCAGGTCTCAGCACCAGCCCCTGATTTCGGTGCAGATTCCGACGATGATGTTGAAGACGTAGCGCGTGGGAAGGGAGGCGGCGAAGGAGGAATGCCCTCGTCTATGATCGTGCAGTTTGCGACACTGGAGGGGGAGAACAAGGGGCCACAGATCGATATTCCACTCGGTTCGACGGTACTGCAAATGGAGGAGCTCATGAACCAGCTCCTGGAGAATAAGGATAAGGTGCGCAATGCGACGAGTTTGCAGTGTGGAGCGGATCGGACCACTGCTGTTCGAAGGTTAGCGGCTTCGTTCCAAACTTCCTGTCTTTTTATCCCACCTCTGTCGCTCGCTATCGGTCACTCCCAGGCAACACCGAGCAACACCGAGCTTGCTGCAGGTAACGACCAATGGTCTGCTGCTTATCCGAACTCGGCATGTCTAAAAGTGTCAGCGTATCTGCACAAGATGCCCGCCCGATTGGCATGTTAGTCTAAGGGCTCAATTACCATGACACTAAGGCGTCCCTTGGCTTGAAAACCGGACTGCGGCAGATCTCTCTTCCAGCCTAAAATCCATATCAAATGTCCCCTCGTACCCCTACCTTTTGCACCACCTTTTAACAACGCCACCCTCTCCCCACTCTATAATCCATGCCAAAGTTCCTCGATTATCGACGGGACAGTTTGATACAGTGGTTGATAAGGATGCTAGGCTGACGTCAAGTCCGCGGCTTCGTGTACCTTCACGCATGCAGGCCAAATCCAATCACATCGCTTCATTTTGTTTCGTCGTTGTACGAGGTAGAGAGTACACGGGGAAGCCAGCTAAGGGCATACAAGTATGAGGTCGTGCCGGACAGCTAATTTGTGTAAGTTGCAGCGATAGACTATGCTCCAAGGGTACGACTTTCGAGGAAAGCCCCCGTCCGCATACTCACAGATATGTCTCAGACGGATGCTGCAATGTTGGCTACTCTCTACATGTACTTCTACATGTGGAGTCCGATGCGGCTGGCGTCAAGTATAATCCGCCCCTTACGGGGTTGCTTAGGGTTGTGCGAGCATCCTGCCGACCCTCGCGATGGCGCACCCTGTATGCAAGCACGCCACAACCCACAGCTCAACCTAACCTGGTACTCAACAGTTGCCCCGGAACTATAGTAGCTGCACAGCAGTTACTGGTAACGTCATTTTTTCTCTTTTGCGCGCCACCGCGGGGAGATTTGACATTGCACTATGAACGGATCGGCGCTCTTGTACCATGTCGTTGTGTGGGTTTTTTTAGCTCTTTCGTTCGTCTGCTTTGCATTGCCGTCGTTCGCTTTTTTGCGGCACATGTCTTCCGGGTAGGTGCCGTACACGTTCTACGTGAATGACGCCGAAGTCATGGAGACGCTAGAGCAAACCGTGTCGGAGCTAGGTGAGCGTGCCACTACCCGCTGTGTATCGTGTTTGTACGCGCTCAACACCGGTTGATGGAGAGCAGAGCTTCCTCCACGAAAACCTTGCGACGCATTGATCGCATAGAAATAACAGGAAGGCGAAGCGTTACACAAGCCAGACTGACAAACCCATCCGCCTGTTGTTTTATGTATCCTTTCCATTCATCGTTTGCGGCGCAGCGGTTTCGACCGAGGCCGTCCTGCGTGTGTCGTACCAGCCGCTTGCGGTGTTCCGCGTGCGGCCGGTGACGCGCTGCACTAGCACCATGCCTGGACACACGGAGGCTGTCCTCCACGTGAACTACAGCCCAGATGGAACCATGCTTGCAAGCGGGGGCGGAGATATGACCGTCAGGTGAGTTCGACGCCTGTCGGGCATATGCCGTACCATGGTATCGTTTTCTGTGTAGATCTGTGTAGATCTGCCGGTGCTTGCGCTCTCAACACTTCGACCTGAGTTGGGTGTTTTGTCGGAGCTATCGTGGCTCTTGTTTTTTTACTCAAGGCACTCCTGGCGTGTAATCAATGTATCTCGCGTCTTGGGTGCTCTCCGCGTCGTCTCGCGGTACATACCGCCGTAGCAGGACAACACAATTCCTGGACGTGCGACGCCCCAGTTGTACTTCCTCCCTGCTTCCCCCACACCCTTGTCAATCAACTCCGCAGGTTTTGGGACGTGCAGACATCCCTTCCTCGATTCACATGTAGAGGGCATCGCCACCATGTCCTATGCACCGCGTGGGCGCCAAACGGTGGGTCGTGCGCCTTGAGGCTCCAAGAGGCGTTAGTCTCTCTAGTGGAGCCATCAGTTTTGAGATCGTTTTTTTATCCGTTCAGAATGTGAAACGCATAACGCCGTGCTTATCCATGGCTGCATGTTATTTTTTTGTTCTGGGATTGCTCGCCAGGGAAACGTTTCGCGTCGGCCGACAGGAAGGGCGAGATTCGGCTATGGGACCCCTCGAAGGGGGTGCAGCAGGGCCAACCCCTGTCTGCCCACAAGCAGTGGGTCACGTCGCTCGCGTGGGAACCTTTGCATCGAAATTCCGCTGGGGAACGGCTCGCCAGTTCGTCCAAAGACGCCCTCATCAAGGTTGATGATCTAACGCGTGATCGTGTCAGTGTGGAGAGGAATGATGTTAGGGCGTGTTTCGATGACGAAGACTTCATTATTCGTCTAAATTTCACATTCTAAGAGCGTATGCATCTTCGGACAAGGCATAAGTGTGTAGGCGACTCTTAGGCGCAGCGCAGCAGTATTATCTCTGGCATTCCTTTGAAGCATTCTTTCCGCCCTGTGCTTCTGTTACGGCTCTGACAGATCTGGAATACGCGGACTGGTCGCTGCGAAGTTACACTCTCCGGACACGCCGACTCCGTCGAGAAAATCATCTGGGGAGGAGAAGGGCTGTTGTACTCCGCAAGTCGGGATCGCACGATTAAGGTGAGCCTGGGAGTCTTGGGCACCGTTCGGCGAATCTGTCGGCGTGTGTGCACGTCCTGTATGTTTCTTCAATCCAACAGAGTAGTGCGATATGTTCAACAAATTTGACTCAGCTGTAAGGTTTCAGGGAGTACGAGTTCGGCTCATGCTTAGTTGAGGGCATGCACGATTTGCGCCTCTTAAGTAAACGTGTTTTGAGCTTTTTCTGCAGGTTTCATTACGAAAGCCATACAAGGCGGTGTCTACAACTCTTTTGTGTTGCCTGTTCCCGTGGTGGATCTATCGTCGCACGTGCGCGTGGGACTCCTTAGGTATGGAATGTTGAGGGTGAGGGCCGAAAGCTGGGAATTTTGGTTCGAACACTCGTTGGGCACGGCCACCGGGTCAATACCTTGGCCCTCAGCTGCGAGGCGGCACTGCGGACGGGTCCTTTCGGAAAGGAGGAATGCGCGCTCAAGGCTTTGTCCAAGTTTACTCCAGAAG